AGGGCTTCAGTAAGAGCAGGTGCACGTGTAAGTGGACAGGAGCAGACACTCGTTTGCAGGGTGCAATTACTGACCTACAAGATGCCTGTTTCACCTGGCCTTGTGGTCAGGAAAGAATTCCAAGGGGTAGTTTGAAGCATAAGTAAAGATCAGCCTGTAAGAAACAGGGAGTGCACTGTAGAGGAGCTGAATGATTATTATACATGATCAACCAATAGATGACTGACATTAGAGCACCTCATTTGTGAAAAGGTGAAGCCTTGCTGGAGAGGGAGGAAAGAGCAGTTAAGAGCTTCGAAGAAACAAACTGGTTGAGTTCCTGACAACGATCTGTCATCTCAGTCAAATGAGCTGCCAATTCTCAGTGCAATCTACCATACAGTCTTATTTCCTGGGCCAATAAATAGAATTTCTTCTTAATTCATGATCTTCTCCCAGCCCTTGGAATCACACCAACCTGCATTCAGTTGGAGTGGTTGCACTTCAGCCACCTCGACAGGTACTCCCTCTTCCTGGCACCTGCCCTTCCGAGGCTGCTTTGACAGTTGTTTCCCATTAGTCGGGTCCACGTGTCCCTCAATCTCCAACATCATTCATGTGAACATCTTGATGATATCAGTGTTGCTCAAGCTGTACTGTACATTAGGGCAATTACTATCTCATCACTCATCTGCCAAGCATAGAAAAAGCTCAGAAAACTCTATTTCAGTTTAAAAATGATCTCTTTAGGTCCGTTTGTCTTAATGTCTGTGTGAACAACTGCTTTTTCACAGCTGCTGTCCTTCATGCTATCTCTTCGTAAGACAGCAGGGAATAAAACAGAATCCTGAAACACTTAATTTAACTTGGTATAATAGGATCAAACTTTCCTAATTAAAACAGCTTAAGGACTATACTAGCAAATAATAGGTGAAAGAAACCAGAAGTAATTTACATGACTTCATCAAGGCTTTTTTGCAAAGAGCTAATAAAGGAATGTGAGCAGTGGAGGCAAGAAATGAAGTTCTGTCTTGGGTCAGAAATAGACTGAAAGAAAGAAAATCAAGCAGAGAACTTGCCTGCTTGTGATGTGGTAAACTGTGGTGCAGAAAGGGCCTCAGTTTAATTCCCTTACCACTGGCCTGGAAGGAAGAGCAAGGAGCAATGTGATAAAGTTATAATTTAGTTTAACATATACTGAAACATGATACAGGGGTTAGTTCAAGCCTTGAAGGATTGATTTTATTTGTGGATAACCTTTGGAAGAGGCTAATCTAACTCTAAAGTAGGCAGTAATGCCCAAGGCAAAGACACAGGCATGCACAAGAGGCGTGGGTTATTTGTGCAGAACTGGTGCCTTCCTTCTGGAAGAAGAACTCAGTGTTGCACAAGGTGCTTAGGGAATCAGGAGCTTAGCAAATTTACAAGAAGCACTAATTCCTCCTCCTTTCTGGGTAATGGCTATCCTCCTCTGAAATGCCTGTGCTTCAGGGCAGGTGCCAGCTATTGATTGATGGCAGTTAATGGGGCACTTGTTCAAACAGGCCTTGGATTTTTTAGCTCCTTTGAGGAAGGTGCCTGATGCTGTGGGAGATGCTGGAAATAGTAAATGTTGATCATTTTGAAGAGAAAATCCAGGCAGCACTGCATGACCCACATGGAGGAGTTAATCTGTAGGCAGTTGTTCAGAATAAAGGAGCATAGCTTTCTACAGGATGGCAGCAATTTTATTTTTAAAAAAATATTATTAGAAGCAGCTTGAACCTGACTTTGAGCAGGTTTAACTATTTTGGAAATGTCTTATTGCAGCTTAGTCTTTGGCATGAAGTCTGTTCTCTTTTGTCTACAACCTTTCCCTTTGCCCTACTAACACCAGTTTATACCATGAACCCTGAAATTTTGCATATGCTTATATGAAACAGCCACTTTACCTTTTGGGATCCTACTGACAACACTGCCTGCCTCAGCAGGATCCAAAGACACACACACCCAAGTGTGCAGCATCCTTTCCCAGCAGGCACGAAGCATTTTGCAACTCCTTCTGCTGAGTATGCAGTGATGATGGTGGTTGCTACAAAGCAGTTGGTGGCTTATTCTTGGGCTGTCTGTTTCTACATGTAACCCATTTACTGCCATCGTTATCACCTCAGATTGCAGCAAATTACAGCCCTGGGTATGGTAGTGCAGGTGCAGGCTGGCTTTTTTAGTCATTATTCAGTGCTGTTCCCTGCTGTCACCTCCAACCCCATGATTGTCATAAATGCTCAGGTTTCTTTCCTTCTCATGCTCTGAGAAACTGATGAGTCTTAATTTACTTATCACTGCAGCTATTTTCTTTCTTAATTTCCTCTCCTTAAACTGAGGAGCAGCTGGGTAGATGCAGTTCTCCTTGGCATGGATTCTAGGCTGTAGAAAGAGCTAGAAACGTTGGGGGTAGTGCAGAAGACCTGTGCCTTTGACCTCCAGCTGTCAGTAGTTAGCTTGGTGCATGCGTGTTGATTTCTGCTTCAGCTCTAACCATTATGTTCCCTGCTCCCCATCCTGACCTGTGCTCCAGCACCTAGGAAGAGACATGTTTTCTGTTCTACCCTAATGCCTGTGAGCCTTGGTGAGACCTGTCAATTACACCATAGCGGGAGCTTCTCCTGGCAGCAGTGGCAGAATGGAAGGGAGGGAGGAACCTTGTGGTGGACCTTGGCCAGGCAGACCCAGCCTAGAGCTTTCCTCATCTCTGATAATCCCTATTAAAAGTGCTCAAATACTGCCTGGTGGAGAGCTACTCCTGTAATTAACACCAGCAATTATTGGATTCAAAGAAAGCTTCTGCTGTCAGTGGTGATCAGCTTTACCCCATCCATGATTGTTTACACACTTCTGACTGTGGGCTTTTCCCTAACACTTTATTGCTGTAGCTGAGGCAAACCTGAATTGCAAGAAACCAGACATTTTTAATGGGGACTCTGTATGTGGCTTTATGATTTTCTTCTGTCAGAGCTTTAGGGGCAGGAAGTGGTAGGCATGGAAGTGTAGTATTGACAGGGCATGTGGCCATCCACAAACTCCACTCCAGGAGCTGCACCAGTAAAGAATTAGACCTTCCTTTTCTGACAGTAAATATGCAGTGCTAAAAGGAAGAAAGCAAGACAATGTTGTTGTGAGTCCAAGTTTTCAGGGGTTTTTAATACATTTAGTGTCTTCATTTGTCTGGTGATATGCTAACAGCAAGCAGTGGAAACTGTTCATGAGACTTCTTTTCCATTCTCATCCTCATTTGTTGTCATTCTCCAAAAAACCAAAATGACTGAACTGCCTGTGGAAAGTGATATGTGTTGTCCATGTTTTTAGTCTTTGAAATGCCTGTTGGGAGGCTTCTTCAGTCTGCTCTTGCAGAGGGCAGGAGCAGGTTGAATTTGTTCCTGAAGATGGGGCAGAGAACCTGCCTCAGGCAGAGGGAGCTCTCCATCAGGTTCTGGGGGCAGCTGGCTTACAGATGGTCAGGAGGTGGCAAGTTGCTCTCCAACTTACCTGCCAAGCTCTAGAAGCATTTGTTGATAGCCCTGCAGAATATGGTTCTGTGTCTGCAAGCCTGGCTCAAGCACCTGCTCAGACACAGCACAAATAACAGCTTTTGTTGTGAGAAGCCTGGTACTGCTTCCAGGACAGTCCCTGATGGCATGTCATTGTGCTGGGGCTCCCAAGCTTCGCTCATGTACTGGTTTTGGCAGCATCAGCAGCTCCTCGCTGCTGCACCTAGGAGACAGAACTTGCCTGCTCTGAGAAGGAATGAGGTACAGGTGCCACTGTTATTTGAGACCCTTGTTGTAATACAGCCCACATCCTTCAGCACAGGAAGGGCAGCTAAACTTTTAGGTGTTATCAGAACAGGATTAGCCTGCCTGATGGCAAGTGAGGCTGGGCTGATGCAAACAGTGCCTTGGTTAGGAACTGATGGACTGAAGAGAGTTGGGTCTCCCATCTGACCACGTTGCAGTGCATAGTGCTTCTCAGCTTCAGGGTACTGTAGCAGATAAGTACTGCAGGCAGATTCTGCTTGGATGAATTAGGATCTGAGGAGATGTGGCAGAGGACAGATCCCTGTCCTAGTCAGCCAGCTGTTCCAGAGCACGATGCTGACAGCCCTGTTTCTACCAGTATTTGTCACTTCTGAATGTTGGGCACCGTGCATGCCCTGCTTCTCTTTACTCTGGGGAGTTGTGGAAGTTCAGGGGATTGGTGATGCTCTGTCACATAGGCATCCCTGGGAAAACCCACCTTCACCTCCTTCAAGGCTAAAATACCTTCTTCACTTACTGTCAAGGCTAAGCTGGAGCCTCTGACCCTCAGCTGCCTGGTGTCCAGAGCAGCTCTAGGAGCTCATCCATTTTGTTTCTTGTGGCATGTCTTGGTAGTATGCTTAGCATGGCAAGACCTCCTCAGCACATTGGCCTAAGCTTGGGCCAGGCAGGTAGTGAAGGAGGAATTAATTTCTTAAGGTCATTAGGAGTTTTTTAAGGACATTTTATGTCTGATAAGCCTGCCCAGGTTCTCACAGGACTGCACGATCATGGTCAAAGACCATTGGCACCCAGCCATTCCAGAGGTGGCCTCACACCCACAGTAGAGGTGACCCTGTTTGCAGGTCCCAGTCCTGTGTTTCCTGTAGCCCAGGCTGCTCTCTAGGAGCACCAATATGAGCCTGTGTCAGCTGTGTCTGCTTTGCAGAGCCATCAGCACAGGGCTGCCTCACTGTCCCCTTGAGAGGGGCTGTTCTGCTTCAAATAGGGGTGTAGGAAGCCCCAGCATGAGTGCCTCAGGAGACCTCCCATAGCTCAGCATGACTAGGAGACGCTTCCAGTGTAGGCACATCTGCTCTGTGTGTCGATGAGGGAACACACCATTGGGGAGCAGCATTGCAAAGCATCAGAACCCTGTGTAGCAGCCAGTGCTTCCCTCAGTAGAGCTCCAGTGCCTTCTGCCTGTCGTGCTGCCACACATCCTCTCTGTCCTCTTCACCCCCCTAGAGCGAGGAGCTGGAAGAGGCCAGGATACGAGCCAAATACTCTATGGTGTTTCACACAGCCAAGGTAGCTTTATGCAGCTTGGCATTAAGGTGTCCTCTGTATCTGTTACAGGAAGTATTTGGGAATCTTGGCTTCTTGTTTCTGTTCCCTTCTGTGGGTTCCTCTCCTTTCTTCTCCCCCCTCTTCTGTCCTGAGCCAGCTGTAAGTAGCTGTGAGCATGGTAGCTAAGGATCCTTGCTAGGAAAACTTCGACCCTGCTTTATCATCTGCCAGTTGTTTGTTTGAAGCTGTTGATAAAGCAGGGGGTGGGAGCCCCGTGCTGGCGCTGAGCAGGGCTGTACTCACCCTGAGAGGGCAGACCCAGAGACAGTCTGGAGCTGTCAGCTCGCCCTGAAGCGAAGGGCGAGCAGAAGGTGCCTCCTGCATGTCTCTGTGCTGATGTTGGCCGAAGTCAGCAGTGGTCTATGTGCAGAGGATTCTCAGAGAATGAGAATTGAACAATCCTCCTGCCAAACTTGCCCAGGTTTGATTGGCATCCTGATGCTGATTTGTTCTCTTATTGGCTTTCACAGGGGAACTCACAAAATACTTTTTGAGTGAGTTTGACCTTGAGCTCGCTGCCTTGACCTGCTTTTCACTTCCTACAGATGGAGATGCTTGTTCTCCTGGGCATGTCATGGATGTTTTTTAGGGTAACACAGAGCCTTCTGAAAGGCAGGTTTGGGTGCTGCTTGCATTATTCCTGACCCTAGTGCTTTGTTCCCTGTCCCACGCAGCCCATTGTCCTCCTCCCCAGTAACACATTGCCGTTCGTTCTGCAGAAATCAAGGAGGTGGAAAAACAAACGAGAGGGGACAGATGCTAACAACCGACCCATCAAAGCTGCTGGGAAAGTTATTATCCAAGATATTTCCTGCTTGCTGCCTGTCCACAAGCTGCTGGGAGAGCTCTACATGTGAGTATGTATGGGCTGTCATCCCTGCCCAAATGAAAGCAACTGTCTTTGGTGTTGCTGTGCTTTAATCCTGACATCAGTCAGCACTGATCTTTGAATGTTTCTCTGCCTTATTCCTCTGTTCTTCACTTGCTGCTTTTTTTATGGTATACCTCTGCCTGTGAGAGGGGACTTGTCTCCTCAAAATCTGAAAAGTGTGAAGTAAGAAATTTGTGATGGGGTGTTGTAAACAGAAGTGGCATCATTTGCATTGTCACTGCAAATCTTACAGGCTCAGGTTTTTACCAGCTAAAAAGAGAAATTATCAGTACAAAGTCTTTCTCAAATCCCATGTTAAACTCCATATTTAAATGCACATTTTCATTTTATAAAACTTTAATAGCTCATAAGGCTTTTTAATTTCAGAAGAATTTGGAATGCCTCAGTCACTTGGAGACTTGGTTGTACGTGCCAGGTCTGTACTACAGGCTCTTCTGCTTTGATGGAAAGGACAGAGTTTTCTGGGCTTTTTTGTGATTTTGTTATTGTTGTGGTTTTTTTAAAACAAATGACTTCCTTTTTCCAAACTTTCTAAATCACATAGTTGCAAAATCTTTGTTCCTGAATTTTTCTTTCTTAGCTTTGGTCATACTGTGTGGTCCTTTATGGAATTTCCAGTCTGTGGACATTCAGGGAAGAAGCAGATTTCCTTTCTTAAAGAAAGGGGGGCAGAAGAGAGGAAACACACTCCTTCCTTCTCTCTTTTTCTATATTATTAGAAAGAATGTCCTTTAAAAAAACCTGTTGGACCTTTTCTTCTTGGGATATCTCATGTAAGCAGCTGTCTCATGTGCTGTAAAATCTTAAGCAATTGAAGTATTAAGAGACTTGCGAAGATTTCTGATGATAAGCAAAAAATCCCACATGGATTTCCTCAGCACACCTTGCCAGCCTCTCAGAGGCTTCCCAGTGGGTGCATTATCCTACTGGGGCCCAGGCAGAAGGCCATCCTGTTCTCTGCAGCGTGCTGCCATCTCCCTCTGGGTCAGTCAGAGCAGATTGATGACTCAGTGGGAACAGGACCGTGTACCCGATGGCACCAGATTTTAGGGGCAAGAATGATTCTGGGCTTGGTGATATCCTGGCTGGTATCTTCTAGAAATGGTTCTGCTTAGGATTGATCACAACTAGTTTGGAGCTGGACTTGATGTGTGGTGTATTAGCAAAATTGGATAGTGGGAGAAGGGTGGCAGTGATCCCTGAATAACAGAGAAGGAAGGGATGGGATCCTGGTGCTGCAGGCAGGCTCATATTGATCAGGAGGTTCTGGGCTGCTCACTGCTGCCAGTACCACATTACCATCATCCCTCCCCACCCTGGTAGGCAATGTGCCAACCAGAGCTGAGCTGTCTCCTTTCTTTTTAGATTGAATGTGAATAACATCCAGGAGACTTGCCAGAAGAATGCTGCCTCAGCCCTGGCTGTGGGACGGAGAGATCTCGTACAGGTATGACATGGAATCAGACTTCTTCCTCAGCATGCTGTGCTGCCCTCAAATGGCTTGTGCTGTTGTTGTGATACCCAGACAGCCGCCTGGGTTTGGCAGCTGTTCCAGGGAGTCTCTGGTTGGTGAACCTGTGGAACAGCCACCGAGGTGGTACCCAGCTCACTGACTCCTGGCATAGAGAGATTCCTTCCCAGGGCTGCAATCAGACTGTTTCTGCCCTTTGCTGAACTGAGTGAAGCACATTTTTCAGGGAATTCCTGTAGGCAAAGCAAGGAACGCAGCCTGCTTTTGAGTCATCCAGTGGAGTAACTGTGCACAGAGCTGCCTAGCTGCTGTCAGCATTTTGATCCCTAATTTTTTTTGTACTTATGTAATCGTTCCCATTGTTTGGCATTCATCTGCGCTGGCACTGGGTGCTAACTCCAGCTAGCTTCTCCCAAGAGAGCCTGAGCCCAGGGACTCTAAAATGGGGTTGGCTACTTGCCCTCAGCTAAAAGTAGGAAAAAAAATGGCTATTGTGGCCCATCCTTTTCCCTGTGATTAAGCCCACCACAACAGGCAGAACATTTGACAGGACACAGGAGCACCTGAAAGAGATGGGAGCTGGCAGTGCCAGAGAAGCTGTGCACATCTGCTGAGCTTTTGAGTCTTCCTAGAGCTGAGCAGGCAACATGCAGAGGCTTACCTGATCTGAGCAGAAGTAAATTCAGGGTGTTGTCTTGCTTCTTGGTGGATTCTGCCAGACCAGGAGAGAGAAAGTAGGTCTAGTTGCCCTTTGTTCTTCATCTTGCAATCTGGTTTGCCCACATTGGACCAGAGCTTGGGTGGAGTAACTTCAGCAAGATATCTCTGAGATATCTCTGTTTCTTGCTTGTTTATCCCTGTCCCATGTATCTCCAGCCTGGACTGCAGCTCACCTGGTTCCTAGCAGACTTGGAGGCTTGAGTACATGTGTGATGTGCTCTGTAGCAGTGCAGGAAGCGGTGCCTTTCCGGTTTCCTTTCTATGCTTTCTCATACTCAGCCCTGTCCATGTTTTGGTTTCTGTCCTGTTTCTTTCTCTCTGGTTTCACAGTGAGCAGCTGTGGGACTGCTGTTTCTAGCTGTTCTTTGCACTTTGAGCATGTGGTTTTTCTTTACTTTCCCATGTTGTCAGTACTCTGATTGCTGCTCTTTCCAGCACCATGCTCCTTTTCCTTTCCTGCTGTCTTTTATGCTGAACTGGGAGCTTTCCTTTTCCCTAGAATATTCTAATTGTCCCATTTTAAAAGGCTCAGCAGAAAAAACAGTCCTACGTGAGTGATATAGAGACAGCAAAGATGGAACCATTTTCAGAGTAGAGGATGATAACTGTAGGAGAAATTTCATGTGAAATAGTTAAACTTCTGAAGTGGCGAACGGTGCTCCTGTCTGTGCTGGGCTGTGCTAGGAGAACAGTGTTCATTAACACAACTAATCAAAAAGATACTTTTCATGCAAATAATGATTTACCGGTAAACTTTCTGTCACCAGACATCTCCGAACACAAGGTCTGTATCAAATCTAAAGCCTTTTGAGGCTTCTGAATATAAAATGCACTAATAGGTCTGTTAAGCTACCCTGACAGGTCTGTTAGACTATAAACTGTTCTGCTGTAACATTTCACCCAAACTCAGAGCAAGTGGGACAAGGAAAGCTTTGGTTTTGTGTTATTCTCTGTATTACTTGTGCCACAGAGACTGATACTGTTGCCTACTGTCGAGGAAAAAAAAGCTCCATTATTATCTGTCTGTGTGTTAATTTGTGCACACCTATGCCCTGGGACTGTGGTTATTCCTAATAGTAGCTTTGCTGCTTTTCCTTCCTGTCTGCCAGGTTTGGTCACTGGCCATGGTAGCCACTGATCTCTGTCTTGGACCGAAGTCTGACCCAGATTTGGAGATACCTTGGGCGCAGCATCCATTTGGACGTCAATTACTGGAGTCCTTGTAGGTGTCTGAATGCTGGGGAGTGGTTGGGGAATGGTTGCTGAAGCAGAGCCCTATATAACTATGTGGGTGTAAGGCATCATTTCAGATCTGGAGTAGTGCCACGGTGTGGATTTTTTTTCCCCCTCAAGCCTGTGATGCATCACGAGGGGAAGCTCCAAGCGTGTTTATGGCATACAGGAGGCAGCGCTTGGTCTGCCTATCACCCAGGTCTTCCTTGGTTAGCATTGAGCAATAGGCCAGGCGTAGGCAGAGCTCTGCTTGCCAGCATGCCCACAACACCTGACTTGGAGATTTGGGTTTCCTGCTTCCCACTAAACAAGCCTGTAGGTGCAGCAAGCAGCTTTTTTCACCTTCAGATTCCCTGTTGCCATCTAGCATTACTGGCAGGTCGTTCAGTGGTCTCAAAGCCAAGTGTTTGCTACAAATGTCTTCCAGCTAGTGAATCTGCTCAGGAGGGCACGTAATTAGAAATTGATATCATCTGTCGATACACCCTGCGTAGAGACAAGATTTGTATGGTGTAGTTTCCATACTGTGGCTTGGCTGAGCTCTCTCCTGCTGCATGGCAGTGATGGGAGGGGAGCACATGTTCTTCATTGCTCTTTCTTCCACCAGTTAGGCCGTGAGTGTTTTCAGGAGAACTTGGCTTCTCAAAGGTGTGACAGAAAAGCCAGCCCAGTCCCTCAGAGCACACGTCTCCCATGGGCAGTTATGTTACCCAAACTGGTGTATGCAACAGGCTTGAAATTAGCTGCCCTGAAGTCTCATTTTTGCCACTGAATTCTGCCCAGTCTCATACTGTCCTTGTCGTTTCCCAGGCTGGCTCATTACTCACAGCTCCACGACGTGCAGACCCTGGCCATGCTCTGCAGTGTGTTTGAAGCCCAGTCCAGGCTACAGGGGTGCCCCAACTCTTATGGCCCGTTTCCTCAACGTGCCTCCAACCTGGCCTCCCACAGTCGATACGTATGATCACCATTTCTTTACCGTTTGCTTTGGAGATCTTTGAACATCTCTCACATAAATGACATGATTTATTTTCCTTTCCCCCTCAACAGCCCAGCTTTACTTCCTCTGGCTCTTGTTCCAGCATGTCAGATCCTGGGATTGGCACTGGAGGCTGGAGCATAGGTAAGAGACCTGGGTAGTAAACAGAGGAATCTCCCTCCCTTCTGACCAAGGTTTTAGATGGCTCCTGTGGTGGGTAAAGAAGGGACTTAGTACTGGCTGTGATTGAAGATGTGCTCTGCCAGAGCAGCTCTGTGGGATTTGGCCAACATGGTGTGACTCCACAGCTAGAAGTGAGCAGGGATTGTGATATATATGTCAAGACTGCTGCAGCCCTGCACCTCCTGACTTGGATACTCTCTGAGTGGGCTTTGGAGAAGCTGTTACAAGCACCTTGAACATAGTGAGCTAGGCCCCTGGACTGCAGGCTAACCCAGAGCCTAGAGCTCCCACTGCTGCCTTTTCCAGTTGGGAGACAAGTAAAGAGATAAGTTTGTACAGTTTTGCTTCCAACCTGGCCATAGCACTGCCTGGTTCTGTAAGCTTTCCACAGCCCTAGTGCTTTGCACAGTT